CTCTTTCCCAGCTCTACCTCTGAGTGATCAAAGGGCTCTTCCCTTTCCTACCCTGCAGGAATGGGCCCATATGGGGAGAAGTCTTGGTCCTCTCTTGATGCAGATAAGAAGCTGAGGCTACAAAGCATCTGATCCTTGAAAGAAAGGCATCCAGGGAATCCTGGAGGCAATTATTCCCTTGAAAGGGAATGGTCCCGAGACACAGAGACCTGCAGAACCTTGGGAAGAAGTGAGAGGGTCTGGACCTACACCCAACCCATGCTGCACTCTTAAGGTGGAAGAGGGAGGGGCCTGAGGTAGGACTGTCCCCCTTCACCCCAATGGCACTACTCACCACTGGAGCAGAATCAGAGATGGCTCCTGTGTGGAACCCTTTGTAGCACCAACTCCGAAGCAGATCTACTCCTAGGACAAGATTAACAAGGGTGGGACTTAAGAGGGTGGAATCAACTGGCCTATTCTTCTTGCCACAGAGGCCCACTTCTTGGTCTATTGGAATTTAATCTCTCATTAAACATGGCATGTGGGCAGGGAGGACACATCACCTTTGAGCTTGTTGCCATGGTACTTCTGTTCCCACTGGGTGGTGAGAATGTTGAAATATCGTGGCTGCTCAAAAAAGCGGAGATAGCGAGAAGAGATTCGAGAAGGAAAAATTCGTTCAAATTGACCACGGCGAGAAAACTCATCCTCCATCTCAACCAGAACCCGAACATCATCTGGCGTCAGGACATCCAGCACAGATGAATAGAAGTCCTGTGGCCCAAGGAACAGGTGGGGAAAAGGGTATGACAAAGAGCGTAAGCCAGAGGCAGAGAATCAAAAAGCTGGGGGATGGGGAGTACAGCTCTGGGGTCCTAAGGCTCCAGGACCAAAGGACCACCAAGGCAGTCTGGTGGGCCCACTCTGGACCTCATCTACTCCCAAGTCTGCTGAGCTTATTCAGGGGATGAAGAGACTCTTGGCTGGGGTGAGAGGAGACAGGGGGCACAGAGGTTAAGCGATTTGTTGGATGAAGTCAAGATCAGAATCCAGATTTGGCCACAGCCTTGTGTCTGCCACACTTCCATCTGACTCCCTCATGTGCTCGGAGAAAGTCAAGCCTTCCAGGAGCTCAGTGCCCCTCAGGGAAAGAAACCCAAGGGTCTATAGCTCTACAAGAAGGGTGGGCTGGTACAGCACTTTGCTAAGAGCAGTGGTTGCTGAACATGTGATAAGGGCCATCAACTCTCTCCGGAATGACATATATTCCAACAAATCCCTGCACACCAGGGGATGTAGGAAACCCTGCCCTAGAGGGAAGAAAAACTGCTTGCCTTGGGGCTCCACAGGTTTGACCAGGGAAGCTTTTTAGTAGCACTGGGGTGAAGGCAATCTCCTACCTGATCAGGAATTTTCTGGGTCAGGTAATAGGCTTTCTTCATCTTCTGTGCAGTGAAGTACTCTGGGGCCATTCGACATCTGCCCCTGGGGGAGCTGGGCAGGCTAAGGCAGAGGGTGGAAAGGGGGCAAAGGGTAAGGTCAGCAGCTTCACATCCTGAGAACATGCAGAGAGAGGGTCCAGCCCAGGAAGACACCCTTCTCAAGAGAAGACAAAGAAGGATGGACAGAAGTTCGTTACGTGAGTAAATCAGACTGCAATGCACTGCATTCCGGTAGCCTGAGACTCAAAGATGAAGTACCACGTAAGAACTAAAAGAGTACAAAGCACCCACTTTAAGTTGTATTTAAATGATAAAAAAGGAGGACCATGGAACAATCACTGTATATATTTCAGTTTAGCTTAATTTAGTGAACACTTACTATAATAAATATCCAGCTTGGCCCTACTGGCTATGTGATCCTGGACAAATTTCCTGACCTCCCTGCACCTCAGTTTCATCATCCACATTACAATTACTGCTGAGAGAGACACAAAGATGGCCTCCAAGAAGCTCACAGGATGGCATGTGTCAAATTACAAATAACTATAGCACAGAGCCAAATATAAGTCTACAAGGTATAGTGGGGAAAGCAAGTTTTGTTACCAAAAACTTGAGCTCCCTTTCCTCAAGAGCGGTTCTGAGTGCTTTGGGGGGTGTGGAGGAGACAGCCCACATTGAGCTGGTTTCATGAAGATGCTGCCTTCAGCTAGACTTTGATGGATGGGTGAGGTTGAAACAGGGAGGTCTTGCTGAGTGGAAGGAGGAAGAAACCCCATGAGCAGAGGAGGGGACACCACAGGGGAACAGTGAGCGGCAGTGAACATTTCCGAGAGGAGACCAGACTAACTGATCCTTAAGGATTCTTCCAGCCTTGAGGTTCTATGAGCGATCCAGTTTGTCAGAGCACAGGAGCTGGGAAGAGGAATTAAGGGAGGGGTGCCTGGGAAAAAGAGGCTGGGGCCTTGAACGTCTGCTTGAGGAATTTTTTTTTTTTTTGGCTGTGCCACGCGGCTGTGGGATCGTAGTTCCCCGACCAGGGACTGAGCCCAGGCCCTCAGCAGTGAAAGCGTGGAGTCTTAACCACTAGACTGCCAGGGAATCCCCTGCTTGAGGAATTTAAAGCTGATCCTCCAGGCTCTGTGGGGATTCCTGGGCAGGGGAGCAATTAAGCAAACAGGCTTTTAGGGGCACTGACAGGGCAGTGGTATGTGAGTAGATTGCAGGGGCAGACCGAGCAACAAGGGAGACCAAGCAGGAGGGAGTGCCCAGACACCACCCCTTCCCAGAGTCCCTATGGGACTGCTCATGCTGCCAGCCAAGCTGCAACCAAGCAAGGAGGCTGACCTGGTGGTGGAGCTGCTGGAGCTGCTGGAGCTGGAAGCGATATCCTCTGCGCTGGGCAGAACAAAGCCCGCCAGATTCAGAAGGTCACGGATCATCTGGCCTTTGATGCTGATGTCCAGTGAAGAGTTGGAGTGGAGGCTTCAGGGAAAGGATCCAAAGAGTGGTAAAAGCAGATGCCAAAACTGTTTCCAGTCCCAAGTCCCAGTCAATGCCAGCCCCATTTACATCCAAACTCATGAGCACCATCACGGGGGTCTTCTTGCCCCACGGATAGTGAATAACCTCACACAGAGTGGTTCCTGCCCATGACCTTGCTAGGGAAAAGCATGCAGTAGGCATCAAGTTTAAAAGAGTAACTTTTAACAATCTGTCTCCCATGTCAGAGAACCCTGAGATAACGGCAAAGAATAAGGGAGTGCGTAAACAGACCATGAAGGGAAAACACATATTCTCGTGAAGGAAAGGTTTTCCCAAAGTCAGCAAGACTGGAGCAGAAACAGGATCTTGAGGACACAGAAAGGCTTCTACTGTGAGTGCCCTGAGAATACCTACCTTGGAGAGATGTTGACTTCCAGGACCCAGGGCTTGAGGTTCTCATCCAGCATGATGTCGAAACCGAAGAGCTCGTGGCAGCTGTAGGGCCGCCGCACGTACATCTTCAGCAGGCTGGTCACATAGGGTTCTGACCTAGTCACAGAGAGGAGAAAGTATTCAGCTCAGCTCCTCCCAAAGGCTCTACCTAGAGCTGCCCTGCCAATGGAGTGTTTCAGAGACAGGAGAACAGAAGCAACCCAGGAAAAGAGGCTCTCAAGAGATGTCTGTGATCTGGAGCCAGCTTCTGGGGATGAAGTTCGGTAGAAGAGCAGAATTTAAGTCTATCCAATTCCTTCCTAAACCCTGTCCTCAGCAACGGAAACACAGCATGGCCAAAAGTCTGGAGCACAGCAGGGTGGAGGCCCACAAGAAAAGGGGGGGGGTTCAGTGGCAGGCCCCACAGCCAGGGTGGCAGTGTGACTCACGAGATGATCGTTTTGACGACAACGTCCTTTATCTTCTCCCAGATGGCATCACTGTTGACTCCCTTCTGGCTCAGGTAGCTCCATAAAGCCTTCAGTGCCCTGTAAGGCAGGAGAGGAGGAGGGAGAATTTAGGGTTGTAGTCTATGAATGAGCAATGAAGAAAAGAGAAAGAAAAAGGAATGAGAGGCCCAAAGGTATCTTCTTCATATATCTTCTTTTGATGTTTTGAATTAAGACAGAAATGAGTTGGATGCAAACAGAACAATTCTGAATTGCCAAGTGTTTATATAATCTCTGGGTCTTATATTAATCCTCCACTCATCTCCCCCCCAAAACCTCCCCAAACCCCAGAACTCTGTGCTCCTCTAGACCTCCACTTGATGGGGACACTGTCTGGGTACCATTTGTGGCCCTGGCAGGCCGTTTCATCTTCATTAGCCTGGTACTCGGCATTCTTTTTATTGACACTGTAGTTGGTCAGGTGCATGAACTTGTTGCCAAGGCTCTTCATGGAAGGGGAATATCTGGAAGTGAGAGTAAAGGCAGAAGTGAGATGGCAGATGGATAACGGTCCAAACATTTCCCCACATCCTGAGGAGGCAAAGGACAAGTGGACAGATCTTTTCAGATGCACAAGGGTCTGAGAAGTACACCTACTGGTAAGATTTCCAAAACACCACAGATAAACTCATCTCCCAATTTATCCCACCTCAGTCCTGCAGGAAGACCCTCCCTATTCAGTGAAGCAGAGGACCTCCTTATTTCCCCTTCCACATATAACTGTGATTTATAATAACAACTATACATATTGGTCTCTGCCCCCAGCCCCTGACACAGAGCTCCTAAAACCTTTGTAAATTCCTAAGTGGTAAGAGTACAAGGAGCATCTTTGTTCTCAGATTTGGTCTTTGACCCCAGTTCCCAACACAGAGCTCCTGAAACTCTTATAATTTCCCGGGTGATAGGAGCGTCTTCTGTTCTAATGAGGTGACACTGGGTAAGCTCCTGGATGGCTTCTGGATGAGGGACAGTCACTGGAAAGACCAAGCCATGATTAGACAGGTGCAAGTTTCAACTCCCCCCACTCAACTCCCATTCTCTTAAAAAGGGAGAAGGGCTGAAATTGGAGTTAATGATCGATCATGCCTAAGTGATGAAGCCTCCATAAAAATCCCCAAAATATGAGGTTCAGAGAGCTTCCGGGTGGGTAAACCTCTGGAGGTGCTGTGAGAGCAGCCAGCCCAGAGAGGGCATAGAAGCTCCGTGCCTCTTCCTATCTACCTTGCCCTGTGCATCTCTTCCATCTGGCTGTTCTTCTGTACCCTTTATCATATCCATCTTTCATAAATCAGTAAACATAAGTAAACTGTTTTCCTGAGTTGAGTGAGCTGCTCTAGCAAATTAATCAAATTGATACCCCTCAGCCCCGGCCCCAAGGAGGGGGTCATGGGAACCTCTGATTTATACCAACTGGTCAGAAACACATGCGGCACCCTGCACTTGCTACTGGCATCTGAGGTGGTGTAGAGAGGGGCAGCCTGATGAGACTGAGTCCTTAACCTGTGGGATCTGATGCTATCTCCAGGTAGACAGTGCCAGAATTGAGTTCAATTGTAGGACACTCACCTGGTGTTGTGTAGAACTGCTTTGTGTGGGGGAAAAAAACCCACACATTTGGTGACCAGAAGTGTCAGAAGTGAAGTGTTTGATGTAAAAGTAAAGGAGCCACACAGGAGAAAAGGAAGACTAGGTTTTCCCAAAGGCACCCTACCTTCTCCTTTGCTAACAAAAACTACCAAAATTTTGGTTATTTTCCTGTTTGGTGTCCTCTGGCTTCCCTCCCTGGAGGGAAAGCAAATCCCCAAAGCTGTCAGCATGAGGCCTCACCACTACCACATACTTGCAACTGGCAAAGCGGACGAGTCCATCTGAAAAGAGGTAAATCCGTAGAGGATCATAGGAGGTGACGTAAACATAGATTCGCAGATCGAACTTGCTGCCGCTGATGAGGTAGGGTTTGTGGAGATACCTACACAGGGAAAGGCCAGCTTCAGGGACAGGACAGATGAGATAGGGCTTGGTAGGTAACTGAATCATGGCAAAAGCCAGCTAACGGTCTCCAGGACAAAGACCTTTAAACAGCTGGCTGAGGAAGTTTTTTGGCTGGGAGGATAAAGGACAAAAGAACATCATGAAAAGGGAACGTCCAGGCTGAGAAGATGGGAAACTGGGAGCGGGATCTGAGCTGGAGACCGGCTCACCTCTGTACCAGAAGGGGTCTTCGCTTGGGGAGCTGACTCCACTTGTGAATGACCTGGATGCCAATGCCTCGAGCAGATGCTGGCTAGAGGTCAAGGGGAGAGGAGAGGAGCTGTTTACCTGGCCAGACACTCCACTGTTCCCACTCTCAGGCCCTGGCCTGCCACCTGCCGTGATCCACTCACTGGTTTAACAATCCACTTTTGGCGGCTGCTGCTCTCCCAGGCTTTGCGCAGAAGCTTGGCATCCTGGGGCAGGATGAAGGACTGGGGGAAGAAACTGAACTCCTTCTTGCCAAACCGGCTCTGCATGCGGGACAGGTTCCGCCACAGTCGGTCCTTTCGCCCAATCTGGAATGAACCTGGGAAGTGGTTTAGCTACAGAAGGGACAAAGGATGAGAGTAGGGAGAGAGAGAGTGCAGGTGAGGCCACAAGGAAGACAGCAAGATTCACTACACCATTTCAACATTCAAAGCTCCTGTTCCATCTGATTATCACCATCTAAAGGTCTCTAACTATTCAGCTGCTGAGCGTTCACCAAAAAATGATTAAAACACAAACACAACAAAACGGAGTGCCCTTTAGGAGTCAACAGTTCACGGCATAAAATGGTAACTAAGACAGACATAATATTCACCTTAAGAGCAAAGAAAAAGCTGTTAAGCCTTTTTCCATGCCTGTAGGACAAAGACAGGAAACTACCTGGCTTTCCTGGGGAAAAGGGACTATTCATTCCAGCATGAGACCAAAGTCCTCTTTACACATATTCAGCTTGGAGGAATGGAGGCAATGCGCAGGGGTTACAGGAGAAATAAACTGAAAACTGACACTGCATCTCAAGACACTAGAGGAAAAAGTGTCTTTTAGAGGCTGCAACTGTCTAAGACACTGCAGTTGAACTACTACTAGACATGCGTGATCTGCTGGGGGCTCACCCCGCACCTGCCTCCTACACTTCCTCCACTCCCCTATGAACCCTCCTGACTTCTCCATGGTCATCCTCCTCTTCCCCCACTTCCAATACCAGCCTCCTCCTGCCCAATTCAGAGTCCAGGGGAAGAATGGCTCAAAAGGGCCCCTACCTTCTGATGCTCCTGAATGGATCGGAAACTAGGAGACTTCATGTGGTGACCCCAGCAGCCCAGCCAGTCATCATTCCCTACAGAAGGCATATCAGGAAGTCAGTCCTGCTGGCAGCTCAGTCCCTGGGACAGAGAGAGGCTCAGAGGACCCAGAAATACCACTGGGCCTGGGCATAGCTCCCAGCCCTGGTTTTCTAAGAGTTGCCATGGAGCTGTCCTACATGAGGCCCTGGGGTCAGGACTAGAACAACGGGCCTCTGTCTTCCAATTTTGAGGAACAGACTCCAGCCCAGAGGGATTTCAGACCTATGTCCTCCTATGAAGTTGCAAACTTCAGGACAGGGTCCCCACATAACAAGAGGTATCTAGGGCTCCGTTCCTGCCCAAAGCCCATCTGTTGGGGCAGAGGACAGGCTCGAAGTAAGGCAAGTGACTCACTCTTGCTGATTTTGAAGTGGGACCGTCCAATGGTCTGCTTGACAATGTTGGGGGTCACTGTGCTCATCTTCCACCGGAGCAGCTTCCTCTGCTCCCAGGGAAGTTTCTCCACTGGGGGAAAGTGGGGAGGTGGGGGGAGAGTGTGGAGAAGAGCAGGAAAGTCATGGTGAGAAGAGGTAAAAGACGGCACTGTTGCTCAGCCTTCCCTGGGTAGGCAAGTCACTAAGTATTGTTCCATATCAGAGTTTGAAAGGAGCACACTTTGGGGAAGAAAGGAGGCTGCACAAGAATGAGGAAAACAGAGAGGAGAGGCGGTTGAAAGGGGAAAGACGCAAGGTTAGAGGGCAAGAATGATCATGAAATTATGGGGCTGAGAGGGCCAGCCAAAGGATGGACAAGATAAAGATCCCCCCACCAGACTGGTGAACCAGGCGGGGAACCAAGCACCAGTACAGCCATTCTGGAAAGCCCCTTCCACCCTATTGCCACCCCCTCCCAACTTCACCAGCACCCTTCTCCTGGGGGTTTTTCTGGGCTGACACTTGGCCAGGTTTACCTCTCTCATCCGGAGTGCCAAAATAGATGGTAGGGGGCACGTTGGGAAAGAGACTGTAGATGAGGGCTGGTCGGACAACTTTCTCATTGGAAAGGGGTTTGGTCAGAATCTCCATACAGTTCCTAAGGTGAAAACCAGAAATGTGGTAGAGAAAGGGAAAGTCACAGCCCTGAGTGCTGTTACTATTACATATTTCTTTCAGGGTGCTATCTTTTACACTTTGATTCTACAAAAACAAGTGCTCAATAATTATTTTGCAAATATTAATCCAGAAGGTGCTATGGCTAACCTATACACAGTCACACCATTAAAAATCACCTAAAGACAAAGTTTTCCAATTATTCATTCTATGAGACAACTCCAAAATTTCCTGTGATAAGCCACAGGCTGAGGAGGTTCCTGAAAAGAGTGGTTCTGAGAGCAGGTAATGAGTCTGAGTGGATACCAGTAGAGGAATATACTACACTAAGACTAAGAGAAATAACAAGGAGAGAAAAAGAATGATATGGGTAACTAAAAAGGAGGAAAAACAGAAAAGGAAGAAAAGAACTAAGAAGAGATATAGAGATTTTTAAAAAGAAAAGGGGGAAAAAGGCAACAGAAAGAAAAGTAGGGCTGCTCCTAACTCATTTTACATTTATCTGAAAATATATGGATGATTAATGCTCTTCTCTGTTTTGAAAATGATTCGTTAACATCAGATTTTTACATAACAATGTGGTAACACATGTCTGGGAATCTGCGGCAGTGGGCCATGGGGTCCCTACTGTTATTCCAACAATGTCTTGGCCAAGGCTAGCTCAAGGAGTCTCAAAATAGTGAAAACCTCAACTATCTATTGACAGACCCAGACCATTTCTTCAAACAGCATTGAAAGTGGAGAGAGTAGTTATTACTCTCTATACTGAGCTATATGATCCACAAATATTTTTTAAGATTAATTTTTAGCTTATAAAGAGCCACTCTACTTGTTATTTTGCAGCACAACAGAAATAGGCACTGTATGTAAAACAGTTCAGTGTTTCAAACCTTAGAGATTTTTAGTGCATTTTATTGGGTCAAGTTAAATATTAATTCCTAATTAAATAAATCCAATTAATTCAACTCATTTCCAAAATATTTTACTTTAAAGGCTTTTCATTTACTGAGTATCAGAATTTAAGATTGTTGAAAATCAAGGAGAATGAGTTAATGTTTAAAAACAAAGACAAGATAGGAATGCAAAATGGTACAGCCACTCTGGAAAACAGTTTTGGCAGTTTCTTAAAAAACTAAACATGCAGGATTTCCCTGGTGGTCCAGTGGTTAAGACTCTGTGCTCCCACTGCAGGGGCCTCAGGTTCAATCCCTGGTCAGGGAACTAAGATCCCACATGCTGTGTGGCACAGCCAAAAAAGAAAAAAATCAAACAAAAAAAAACTAAACATGCAATTACCATAGAAACCAGCAATTATACTCCTGGGCATTTATCTCAGAGAGATGAAGACTTATGTTCACTCAAAAATATGTACACACACACAAAAAAAATATGCACACAATTGTTTAGAGCAGCTTTACTCATAATAGTCAAAAACTGGAAACAAACAAAATATCGTTCAGCA